GGTAATTAACTTAGGTAAACATAACTATTGCACACAGTGTTCAGAATTTAGGCACTGTGGTTTCCACATTTTTTTTCTATTAATAATACACGTGATCATTTCATAATTTCTTCCAAAGCTTGCCATTCCAATAGAAGTCCATCTCAGCAACTAGCTAACAAGGACATATTAGCTATGGTGAAGGCTGGGAGCTGGGCTCAGGCTGCAGGGTGTCTAACGTGAATGTTGCCTGGGCTCGCTGAAGCTGGGAGACCTGGGTATTGGATGGAGGTGGGGCGGTCTCCCATAATGTGAGCCACAGGCACTTCCTGTCTTTTAAGGACACGGTCAACATACAAGCATCAGGTCTCATGTCATGTGTTGTGTGGGGGTTGACTGGGGTTATGGACAACTGGTTTTTCATTTCATACAAGGAAGGAGCAGTGACGGTTCAGACCTTTACTATAGTGTTGTTATCATGGACTGTTGAATGACAAATTGTTAAAAAAAATCCATATATGTATATTTATTGCTTTTTAGGGAAAAAGGGAGAGAGAGAGGGAGAGAGAGAGAGAGAGAGAGAGAGAGAGAGAGAGAGAGAGGGAAAGAAACATTGATGAAAGAGAAACATCATTGATTGGCTGCCTCCTGCATGCCCCCTACTGGGGATGGAGCCCGCAATCTGGGCATGTGCCCTGACCAGGAATCGAACCGGTGACCTCTTGGTTCCTGGGTCCATGCTCAGCAACCGCTGAGCCACACTGCCAGGCCCTGAATGACAAATTGTTAACGGAGGAGAGACGGCCTCATCTCCCCCAGTTGCTCGTGGAAGTAAGGTTCTGGGGGTACTGTTGGAATAAGAATTTATGGAGCCCCCCTCGGAGGGATGAGATACTGTAGAAAGCTTTACTTCCGTGGAATTACACCCCTGGGTTTCCCAAGTCCCATTTCCTTTAGTCCAGTCATAGGAGAAGTGTAGCTGAGCTTCAGTAGCTCTCTCTCCCTTTCTGAAATCAATAAAAATATATTTTTTGAAAAAAGAAATACTTCCATCTTTGTTCAGCCTTCCAACTACTCTCCCTGGATAGTTAGCTGCTTCTCCCCCACTTCTGGCAGGGGTGGGCAAACTTTTTGACTCGAGGGCCACAATGGGTTCTTAAACTGGACCGAGGGCCGGAACAAAAGCATGGATGGAGTGTTTGTGTGAACTAATATAAATTCAAAGTAAACATCATTACATAAAAGGGTACGGTCTTTTTTTGTTTTTTAGTTTTATTCATTTCAAAGGGGCCGGATCCGGCCCTCGGGCCGTAGTTTGCCCACGGCTGGCTTAGAGGGTTTGTACACACCTCTATTATAGCACCTCTTACACTGTGCAGTAACGTATTCTCGGGAGAGGATACAATTGTATCGTTGGGTGAGGTGGTGCACAATTTGCCTGAATCTTATTCGTTTGGAACTCTTAGTTTTTGAAAAGCGTGGCACAAAATTGGTACCAACTCATTAAATGTTTGTTGTATAAATAACTGAATGAGGGAGACTATGCAAAAGCAGTAGGAATGGGCAGGAGAGGTGGATGGGGCCATTCCTGCAGTGCCAACAAAAAGTAACAGCGGTCTTAAATATTTTTTTGGAATAGATAGGCTTGATATTAATATTAATAACAATGTTATTCAGTTGACTTGGACAAAATCCCTGGAGTAAAATTAATAATAGTGGTGGTTTATTGTGTGACTTATGTGCCAGGTGTTTTGTGTACATTTACTCTTGCCCTGGCTGGTTAGAGCATCGGTCCTTGGACTGAAGGGTTGTGGGTTCGATTTCAGTCAAGGGCATGTTCCTTGGTTGCAGGTTCGATCCCTGCTCCAGTTGGGGTGTGTTTGGGAGGCAACCAATCGATGTGTCTCTCTCACATAGATGTTTCTCTCTGTCTCTCCCCCTCCCTTCAACTGTCTCTAAAAATCAATGGAAAAAGTATCCTCGGGTGAGGATTAACACCAAAAAAATTAATCTTCACTCCAGCCTGGCAATGAAAGTTCGGTGGACATGAGATAACTCCACCCAATCCACCTTATTCTGGGGAATTAACATAAACTCCAGGGGATGATTCTTTTGTTGTTAATCCTCACCCAAACATGTTTTTCCATTGATTTTTATTTTTGTTAATCCTTACCCAAGGATATTTTTTTCATTGATTTTTAGAGAGAGTGGAAGGGAGGAGGAGAGACAGAGAGAAATATCGATGTGAGATTGGTTGCCTCCTGCACACGCCCCTTCAGTCCATGGGCCGATGCTCTATCCACTGAGCCAAACTGGCTAGGGCCAGGGGATGATTCTTTAAGCCAATAGTAGCAATTCCATCCTCCTCCACTGTGGCTCGTTCTGGGCTGGGCAGGTCTGGGCCAGTTAGGACCAGTAGGATAAAGCTTGCTGCCATGAGGAAGGGTCTGAGAAAGTGTGCTCTTTCTTGCTGGCTGTGAATGGGGAGGTTTGTGGCCCTGGCTGTTCCTGGCAGCTGTCTTGAAGACATGGAGGAGAGCAGAGCCAAGAAAATCCTGGACAAATGGGACCCAGGGCTCTCATCATTTCTAGCTTGAAGATGACCTACCTCCGCATGTTCAGTGATGGGAGCTTTATGAGCAAAACACGTATCTCTAATTCAGTCTGAGTGAGTTTCTGTTATTTTATCCAATTACACAGTGAGAAATCAAGACTTACGATAGCAATGTGTTCAATAAACCTCAGTGCGCTCACCCCACTAAACTGAGTCAAGGAAGGACAGGTCACCTGGCCTCAGTGCTGAGTTACCTGCTCACCTTCTGAGTTGACTTCTCTTGTACTTGCAGTTTCTACAGCCTAGAATATTCTATGCCTCCTCTCGTTGCTTAGCAAACTACAACATTTCTTTCAGGCTACAGCTTAAATAAATGTCATTTCTTTTTCTTTCTTTCTTTTTTTAAAGCACTATTTATTTAAAAAAATATATATCTATTTTAAGGAGAGGGAGAAAGTGATAAAAACATCAATGATGAGAGTCATCAATTGGCTGTCTCCTGCAGGACCCCACTGGGGACTTGAGCTTGAAAGCTCCACCTCCAGGTTCATGGGTCAATGCTCAATCACTGAGCACACCGGCCAAGCTAAATGCCACTGTTTTAAAAATATATATATATTTTTATTGATTTCAGAGAGGAAGGGAGAGGGAGAGATAGATAGAAACATCAACGATGAAGAGAATCATTGATTTGCTGCCTTCTGCACACTCCACACGGGGGATCCAACCCTCAACCCAGGCATATGTCCCAACTGGGAATAACCGTGACCTCCTGGTTCATAGGTCAACGCTCAACCACTGAGCCATGCCAGCCGGGCTCAATGCCACTTTAAAAAAAAAAATATTTTTATTGATTTTAGAGAGGAAGGCAGAGGGATAGAAACATCAATGATGAGAGATAATTATTGATCGGCTGTCTCCTGCACGCCCCCTACTGGGGATTGAGCCAGGCGTTTGCCCTTGGCGGGAATCGAACCTGGGACCCTTCAGTCCGCAGCTCTATCCACGGAGCCAAACCGACTAGGGCTAAATGCCACTTTTTGATCACTTCCCCACCCCAGCCCTCAAGATTAGATTAGACCCCTTGGCTATTAACCCATGGTGGTTTGTATTTTTCTTTCATGCTCCTATTACAACTATACCTGATTACGTATTTTAGAACACTATTAAAATAATGTCTCTCTCTTCCCTAAGGGCACAAGTGTATCTGTTTTGCTCAGCACTCAATCCTCAGAACAGCTGTTGTCACTCAGCGGGCAACAATAAATATTTGATGAAAGAACAAGCGAAAGCTTTCTGTGGTCATGAGCTACATCAGCAGTGACCTGCAGTTCTCCGAAATGGTCCTGGGACCCGCAGCATCAGCGTCACCTGGGGGCTTGTCAGGAATGTAAATTACTGGGCTCCACGCAGGCCTGCGGACTTAGAAATTCTGGGAGCGGGGCTCAGAGGGCGACCTGTTTTAACAGGCCCACCAGGCGGTTCTGATTCACGCTGGAGTTTGAAAGCCGCCGGGTTTAAAGATTTGCTCCAGTCCACGCAGTAGGCACAGCCAGTCGCACCTCGGCTGCTAGGGGTTGTTTCCTGCTTCTATTTCTTTTTCTTTTTTTAAAAATATATTTCTTTATTGATTTCAGAGAGGAAGGGAGAGGGAGAGAGATCTAGAAACATCAATGAGAGAGAATCATTGATCGGCTGCCTCCTGCACATCCCCCACTGGGGGTGGAGCCTGCAACCCGGGCATGTGCCCTAGGCCGGAATCGAACCCGGGACCCTTCAGTCCGCAGGCCGACGCTCTAACCACTGAGCAAGACCGGCCAGGGCTCTGCTTCTGTTTCTTAAAACCAACACTGTCACACGTCAAGCGGGTTGGAGGAGGGGAACAGGGACCGCTCCATTCTTTGCGGACCCAGAACCCAGGGCCTCTGCAGTGCCTTCTCCTCTGATCAGCTTCCCGCGGCTGACTCGGTGCTTTAGGTTTCGGTTTACGTTTTCCACCCCTCTCTTCCGTTTCCTCTCAGCCCCCGGGTTCGCCTTCCTCAAAGCCTCCCTCGTTTCTTACAATGATTCGCTGGCTTTTGACTGGCTGCCCTTCTGCCTCCTGAGGGCAGGGGCCGCAGCAGCCTCGGCGACTGCACCAGTCCTAGCAGCCGCAGCAGCGTCGGGGCCACGGCAGGCTCACCCGCGTGCGGACCGGACGGGTGCAGGCTGTGCGAGCGCAGAGGCCGCGAGCCCGGGACCTCAGCCGGGCGGGGCGCGCCAGAGCCGCTCCCTGCCGGTCTGCGGAGAAGCGAAAGAGAAAGCCCGCTGTGCTGGGAAGGCAGGCGCGGCGCCCTTGACCAACATGGCGCCGGGCGCGGGGCGGGGCGGGGCCGGGGCGGGGCCAGCGGGAGCCGTCAGGTGCGGCCCCGCCCCGCGCGCCCCGCCCCCCGCCCGATTCCGGATTGGTCCGGTTCCAGCGCCGCAGCCCGGCGGCCGCGCCGTGGGGCCACGCCGGGCGCTCGCCACTTCCGGCGCGTTCGCTGGGGCTGTTGGCTGGGGCGGCCGCGCGCGCGAGCGGAGGACCCGGGGCGGCCGGGTGAGGGATGCTCTGCGCGGCGGCGGCGGCCACCGTGTGGGCTGAGGCGGCGGGGACAGCGCGGGCCCCCGGGCCTCTCCCCTGAGCCGGCGCCGCGGGCTGCGCCGCCGAGGCCCCTTCAGCCTCCGCTCCTTCAGCCTCGGGGCCGGGCCCGCCGTCGCTCCTGAACGCGGCGCCGGGGAGCCCCTGCCTGGGCCCGGAGCCTCCCGTCGGGGGTCGGGCCCGGGCGGGGGGCCCCGCGCTGCCGCCCTCCGTGCCGGCCTCCGAGCCCCGTTTCCTGCTTCTTCAGTTAACTTGGGGAGGGGCGGGCGGGTGTTGATGGATCGTTCGGGGTGTCCCCGATGAGGCGGGCCGGGGGGCCGCGCTCCGTTTAGAGGGTCCCCGCGGGGCCCGGGTGGGGAAGCGGCTCTCTGTGCCTGGGTGGGGGACTTCCGAGTCTGCCGGGATCATGACCTGACTGTGCGGACGGACGGGACGTGTGCGGAGCCCGAGAGCCAGCTCACCTGAGCCGCCCCCTCCCCGGCCAGCATGGTAAGTGGGGTCCGCGCCCCTGCCCCTCCTGGGTGCGGGGCTGAGGGCGGGAGCGGGCCCGGGACTGCTGAGCCGTCGCTTCCCCCCGGGTGCGGATCTGGGCAGTGACATGCGTGCAGGGTGTGCAGCCCCGCTCGGGGCTCCCCCCCCCCCCCCGGCCGCCTCTTGGACTGAGAGGGACCCGCGAGCTCAGCAGGCACCACCCTGCTGTCTGCCTCTCCCAGCGTGCAGCTCGTCATGACAGTGGCCATCGTGTTTCTTTTTTTTTTGAGGGCTTCGTCTGTGCCAGGCCAGGTGCTAAGCGATGGACAGGTGTTCTTTAATGAGCAACCAGCCCTCCTCCGAAGTGGGGAGACTGAGGCACGGAGCCAGCCCCAGGGCGCTCTGCAGCGACAGGGGCGCGGTGTGAACCCGGGCAGTCTGACTTCGTGGCCTCTGTGAGACGCGGCGCAGCCCTGTGTCGGGGCCGTGGGGGTGGCCTGTGCGGAGGGCCGGCAGGGACCCAGGCCGCGGCGGCGGCTGCACGCTCTGGCCTTTTCCTGGCGGTGCCTGGGAAACCACGCACCCTTCCCGATCCGGCCCAGAGGCCGCCTGTGCGGAAGATGTTTTCCGTAGCCTTGCTCAGGACTCATCAGATTTGTTCAGCGTTTATCGTGTGTCTCCCGCAGAAGGCTTGGCTCCCTCCACGGTGAAATGGTCCGAACCTCTGTGTGCTCCAGCTCTCGGGCACATTGGAGGCCATGGGGAGTGGGCGATGGCCCGGCCTGTGGGCAGCACCTCCAGTGACAGAAGTGTTTTTCAGGCCGCCCCCCTGCCAAGGTAGTGATTTCGTTGAGAAAGAGATACGGTGACATCTATGATTCAGATGTTCAGGCCGGCGGGATTGCAGACAGTTCAAGGAGCCCGTGGGTGGCGTGTGCAGGTTCTGGGCATAGAAAGACCTGAGGCATAGCCCTTGTCCGCATGGGGCCCACAGCCAGTCAGGTCCAACAACACGCCATTCATGCCGAGCAGCTCCGGGTAGTCGGTGCCGTCCTGGGTACAGAGGCCGGTCAGTTATGCGCTCTGAGCCCCCCTTTCCTCACCTGTAAAATGTAAGCTTGGAATTCTCTAGTGAATAATCCAAAGGTATGAGATAGAACATTTAGTGAGTGATGAACGTAAGTGCTGAGTAGTCCTTCATTTATTCTTTCAATGAATTTTTTTGTGTTTTAAACTGTAAAATATATATAACATGAAATTTTCCCATTTTAACCAGTGTAAGTGTACAGTTTTGTAGTCTTAAGTACATTCACATTGCTGTGCATCCATCGCCAGAACTTTTTTCATCTTGCAAATCTGAAACTCTACTCATTAAACACTAACTCCCCTTCCGCTTCCCCAGCCCCTGGCGACCACTAGTTTGCTTTCTGTCTCCTTTGACTACTCTAGGTCCCTCATATAAGTGAAGTCATACAGTTTTTGTCTTTTGGTGACTGCCTTATTTCTCTTAGCACAATGTCCTTGAGGTTCATCCTTGTTGCATGTGTCAGAATTTCCTTCCTTTTCAAGACTGAATAATACTCCATTGTGTGTTTATACTATATTTTGTTTATCCACTCATCTGTTGATGGACACCTGGATTGTTTCCACCTTTTGGCTCCTGTGAGTAATGCTGCTCAGAACATGGGCATACAGATTTTTCAGTGAATTTTAAGTAGCCACTGTATGCTAGACTCTAGTCTAGGGAATGTCAGATGAATCAAAACAGACACATTCCTCCCCAGGGAACTTTGGGACCCCCCCCCCCTGGGTAGAATTCCATTGGTAAATTGACTAAACTAGCCAAGCAACCTTGTATTCAGGTTTCATTCTAATTGGTAACTAAGAGAGCATTGTGAAATGGCCCTCTGTGAGCAGTTAATTAGTAAAGTAGTAGTTGACTTTATAGTCCATTTTATACTCATAATTCATGATCACCATGTACATTTTTTTCTTGAAGTAAGTTTTGAGTCACATATTTAAGAACATGGGGGTGGCCACAGTGTATGTGAGGTCAACCATCTAATTCCTTTCTGCATCACACCAGGGGTTCATCTGAGGTGTCCCAGGGGTCAAGGATGTTGGCAAAGCCGATCTTGTCCCCAAAATGCAAGGAAGCTGCTGCCTGGTTTGTGTGTTTCAGGAGGAGGGCCTTTTCCCTGGGATCACAGCTCTTTATTTATTCCAGGAACCTTTTCCTGCCCATTTCCTACTGACTTAACATTTTAACTTTTAAGAGTATTAGTTGTCAAATGCTTGAGCCTTTGTAATATTTCTTTTTAAAACTTCAACTCTAATTAAGATGAAAATGGTATATGGCAAAACTAGCATTTAATATCTGCTATAAGCTAGCTATTTTTCATGCATTCATTTTTCTTCAAGTCATTCAGTATCAGTTAACCACACCCACCCTGCTAGGTTACACTATTGCCGTTACTACCAGAGGGGGTACCTGTTTGGACCCAGGCTGATCTACTCCAAAGTTTGTGCTCTTTGCAGTACATGTGCTGCCTCATGTGGAAAGGTGATCGGGAATGTTATCCAACTGTATTTTCTTTGGTTTTGAGGTTGTGATTGGGGCTTGGGAGTATGGGAATCACTTTATTTTATTACTATTACTAGAGGCCTGGTGCACGAAATTTGTGCATGGGTGCAGTCCCTAGGCCTGGCTGGTGATCGAAGCGCGAGTGTCTGGTAGGCCTGGCTGGTGATCGAAGCGCGAGTGTCTGGTGTGGAAGGGCAGGTCCCAGCTGACCTCTGGGCCATGGGCAGCACCGGGGCTCCCGGGCCCGCACGCCCCCCCTCTGCCTGAGTCCCCATGTGGAGATGTGGTGAGTGCGGCCTGATGCAGTGGGCCAGGGCGCAGCATGCGCCTCTGGGCAGGCAGCGCCGCTCTTTTTGCAGACCAGCTCCTTCACGAAGCCATGGGGAGCCCGACTGGCCCTTGCAGTTCTGGGACTGCAGCTGGCTCACCCAAAGAGGCTGTGCAGGTGTGGGGCGGGCTCCTTGTGAGTGCCCGTCACCTGAGTGCGAGGGGGAGGGGGGCGTGGCTTTCTCTGCTCACAAGCCCTGGGAAGGATAGCAGGGGGAATGAGAGCGAGCTTGGCGGACACCCCGCATTCCCACTGCACCCTAGCAAGAGGTTGCAGCCCCCCCCCCCCCACACACATCTGGGCACCATGAGAGGTTGCTGCCCCCCACCCCCAGTTCCCCATCCCAGACCAGAGCTCTGCCCCAATCAGGCAGTCAGGGCCTGCTGGCTGCTGGTCACTGTCTGTGAGGCAATCGGCCTCCTGCCAGACTCCCTCAGTGCCTGGGAGCTGGGGCGGCAGCCCCACCCCCCTGCTGCCACTGCTGGTTGCTGCTGCGGGGCGATTGGGCCCTCGCTTGTACCCACCTTGGCCTGGTGCTGCCCGCTCACCTGCTCCACCATCCTGCCAGGGTACTGCTCTCGTCCGGGCCCATCGGGGATGGCAGCGCCTCCACTGCTGCCCACTGCCAGCGCCAAGTCGCTCATGCCCACCATGTTCTGCGCTGCCCCCTGGTGGTCTGCACACCTCATAGTGAGCTGTTGAACTCCTGGTAGAATGACTGCCCGAGGGGACAATTTGCATATTAGACTTTTATTATACAGGATTTTTAAAAAATACATTTTTATTGATTTATTTTTAGAGAGAGGAAGGGAGAGAGAGAAGCATCGAGATCTGCTGCCTCCCGCACACTCCCTACTGGGGATCAAGCCTGCAACCTGGATATGGGCCCTTACTGGAAGCGACTTCTTGGTGCATGGGACATTGCTCAACCAAGTGAGCCACACTGGCTGGGCTGGGAATCGCTTTAAACTGTTTCTCTAGGATGGGGGAACAGATCTCGGTGTTTCTATCTTCCTCTCTTCCTCTCAGAGGTTCTGTAGTTAATCACATAATTAGAGGTAGTCTGGGAAACAGGTTAAATATCCAGAAATGACTTGCCCTAGCCCAGTGGTTGGCACTCAGTCAACAGAGCCAAATATCAACAGTACAACGATTGAAATTTCTTTTGAGAGCCAGATTTTTTAAACTTAAACTATATAGGTAGGTACATTGTTATTAACTTAATTAGGGTACTCCTAAGGCTTAGGAAGAGCCACACTCAAGGGGCCAAAAAGCCGCATGTGGCTTGCGAGCCGCAGTTTGCCGACCACGGCCCTAGCCAGTTTGGCTCAGTGGATAGAATCTTGATTACGGATGGAAGGGTCCTGGGTTTGATTCCAGTCAAGGACACATGTCCGGGTTGCGGGCTTGATTCCCAGTTGCGGGTGTGCAGGAGACAGCCGATCAGTGAGTCTCTCTCATCATTGATGTTTCTCTCTCTCCCTCTCCCTTACTCTCTGAAATCAATAAAAAAAATATTAAAAAATGACTTTAATAACTTTTGAAAAAACTACTACATGATATGGTTCAAGTGATGAAATTTGGTAAAGACAAAAAGCTCAGAGTGGTATAGAGAGTCATTCTCCACAGTAGGCCAGAGTTTTTTAGTGCCTTAGATTAGTCATTCATGAAATAATTTAAAAAAATGTACATTTTTAAATTGCTTTCAGAGAGAAAGGGAGAAGGAGAGAGATAGAAATATCAATGATGAGAGAGAATCATTGATTGCTGCCTCCTGCAGGCCCCCCACAGGGGACGGAGCCTGCAACCCAGACATGTGCCCTGACGGGAATTGAACCATGACTTCCTCGCTCATAGGTTGACGCTCAACCTCTGAACCGCACCAGGTGGGCTCATGAAATAATTTACTTCCTGCATCAAGCTTAAAATCCTAGGTATTGTGGTTACTGTATAATATTATAGTTGATGTTTATAGGGCTTAGTATGTGCCAGGCATTTTACATATATTAACTCTTTTATTCTTCCAAACAATGCTAGGAGGCAGAGGCTATTTTTATTTCCCATTTTATAGATGAGAACATTCAAGGCCCAGAGAGGTTAGGCAAC